AGGGAAGGCAGGGCTCCTCACAGAGGTGATGGTACACAGCGCCTGCTGCAGCACCTGGCCTGTGCTGACTAATTTACTGTGGTGTTTTCCCGGGATGCTCACGCTCCCTTTTCCACAGGCAGCCAGCTCTTCTGCATGCCTACAGCTACTCCCCCCTCCACACTTCTCAGTAGTTTTTCACAGCCTCTGAATCTCTAATTATATTCACTGAGTTGACACAGTTGCTGAGCTGTGCAAGGGTTTCTGGAAAAGAGCAGTTATTTTATGCTTTCATACTCCCTTGTACAAAGAGTGAGACCAGCATGCAATCCGGAAGAAATATACTGAAAAGAGATGAGTTTGTCATTTCAATAGTTAATGTGATGTTTTGGCTGTATCTGAAGATCAACATTCACAGAGAATAGATGTGTAAGTTGCTTTTTATATGGTTCTTCAGAGGCTGCTTTCAGAAAATGATTTACCATTCCAGATGCCTACATACTCAAAGATATTGACTGACTGGAGAGAGTTCAGAGCAGAACAGTAAAAATGATCACTTAGTGCAGATGTTTTGATTTATAAAAAAGTGATAAAAAGATTAAAGGAATAAAATACAGCTTGAGGCTGGGCTAACTGATGAGCTAGAGAGGACACAGCCCTCTCCAAATAAAAGTTACATATGACAGTGGTATGAGCCATTACCACGGGGTAAGCAACGGCACACACAACTCAGTCCCACAAATTATTCTTCTATAAGCCAAACTAATCAAAGAGAAGTTGAGGTTAAATCTTCTGTCAAACATTTCTGCATAGACCTACTCAATAGAACTGCAGAAGATCTGGAGCTTGGACAGAACAGAGGATGAGCTTCAAGCACTATACAGGCACCAAAGACATTTTCTTCTTGAAATGTCTGCGTTTCTGCATCATATTAATTAACAATATTGTCTTTTATAGCAAAAAATGGCACAGTGTTCATTGTTTACTTAATCATAAGATTAAAAAGATGCTGGCTGTATTCATGCCATAGGAAATTTCCTGCTGACATCAGTATGCCCTTTCCCAGTGGCAGAGCAAGAGTGAGAACCTATCTAAGAACAAAGCCTCGTAAGTCTGGTTGTGGACTGAATGTGGGACCAGGACATTTTCACCTCTCCGCTGGTACTGTCCAAGACCCATGCTTCCTCATGGCACACAGCACAATTACACCTTTACAACCCAGCCACCCCCACTCAAATGAGGGCTGCAAACCACTCCTCCCAGTACTCAGCTTATTCATGACTGCAGAAATAGTTTTTATGATTTATTAAGTATCTTTATTGGAGTAGAACCTAAGACAAGGACTTCGTTACGCTAGGTGCTGCATAAACACAAGACAAATGGGTAGTCCCTGTTAATTTACAGTCTCAATAATTAAGCAAGGGATGGCAAGCAGCAGACACGAAAAGAAGTAGAGAGGAGCACTAAGAAAAGATAGGCCATTCTCTGGTCACACAAGACAAATGACAGCTGCTGTTTCCTATACGGACCTTAACATCAACGTTTTAACATTATGGTTTTTCCTTGTTTCCTTTCTTTTGCTTGTTTACAGTTTGATGCACTACCTTGCTTTGCAGTCTGCATAAGTGCATCCTCTGGGCAAAGGCATTAGCTAATGTTTGTTGACTTTGTGATTCCTAAGGTCATGGAGTTTGAAATTTTTGGTTATGCCTTATCAGATATACCAGTTACTACTGCTATAGGGTAGTTTTCATGCACAACTGCTGAATGCCACTCCCATTTTCTCACAGGGGTGGTAGAAGAGGTTCTTTGCAATTGAGTGCTCCTGTCACTCTAGTGAAGTGTGGCATGAATTCAAAACAGCCGAAAGTAACTACTGGATAGATTGGCTGACAGACTGATCTTCTATCACTAAGACTGAAATAACAGGAACACACCCTTATTTTCCTAGGTTAGTGATTACCTCAAATGTAAAATAAGTCTGGGGCTATTTCTAATATTTCTAGTATAAAATTACATATCAAGAAATTAGAAGACATTAAGGTTGTAAAGTGAGTGACTCCTAAGCTAGGGAATGTCAGAGGAAAGTAATTAATCTCATCCTGTGTGTGCACTGTATTTCAATCTTTAATTATCAAACCACTGCAAGGGGATCACAAAACCCCACAATGAAGGCCATGATGACCCTAAACCCTAGAGTGAAAAACCAGACTTTATGATGCTTTTTTCCCCACCAGCAACTTTATGATGCATTTTTTTTCCATGAGAATAGCACTTTGTTGAAAGAACTGAATAGTTAGTTATCCGGTACTTCCTTTTATGCTTCTTTAAGTGTGGGGCTTCAGGTCTTTTTTACTACACACCATCTAAAGCTTGTCCTGAACATATATAGACTTACTTGTCTACTAATAAACTTCCTACTAATATTCTGACCTATTCCAATATTTGACCATGTTGGAAGTATCACAGTATTTATTTTTCCAGTATTCAGGGGCATAAAAGTAGTAGTATTATTCTTCTTTTACCCACGGGAAAGGAAAGATTATAGGGACTTGGTTCACACTACTGAGTGCCCGCCAATTTTGTCAACTCAGACTGAGATACACGGAATCTGATTTATTCACAGTGTATTTACACTTTTTTTTTTTTAATCTTAGGAAGTATATATAAGCTTTTATATATTCAAAGCATAGCTTCCATCAAAGTGAATAGCAAGAGAAAGTGCTGAGAGCTTCTGCAAATACACTCCCAGGTGGGTATCAAGAAAATAAAGAATATGCAGTTAGGTGATCATCAGTGAGATTCTGGTTTTTAGATGATTTGCCCTGCATTCATCCCAGTAGGAGGAGAGTGGCAAATGTAGGAGTGGGATCTAGTACACTCATCCTTTCTCTTCCTGCTAACCGAAATCAACTCCGCTACTCTTGCAACTGGCTTGCTCACCACACACATGTGATTTAACTGCTCAGCATAGGGGTTCATGCAGTGGTGGCTGAAAAATTGTACCTTGAAAAAGGGTAAGACCTTAATGCACAACCAGAAAAAGACCTCCCGCAAACAGGGTAAGGCCTTAATGCAGAACTTGTCAGCTGTGGAAACTTCACAACCACGTACAATAGTAAGAATGCTTAAAAATGGATGAAATTATGTTTTTTCTTTAGTTCTGCCATTTAAAAAATAAGATTTATTACAACTGAACTAATAAACAGTAAGTAGACAAATACAAATCAGCTTTAGACAAGAAGCCTTTATGAAAAATGTTATCTATCTCTTTATGTTGGCAAAATGGCAAATGTTTTTGCAGTATCAGGTTCCAGGGAACTTGATGTGCCAATAGCATATTTTTTAAAAAAATCTTTATTTCTAGAAAAGGAATGGTTGCTTGAATATTGGGGAGGAACGGGATGATATGCGAAATATCAGTGCCGGTGGGCAGGCAGCGCTTTCGGCGGGGCGGGGTGGAGACCCCCCCCTCCGACGCCTCA